CAGGCTACTTCTGGCCTTTGAATTTTGTTTGGATATTTTACAGGACAAGTTGCATGCTATACTTTATTATATTAATATTTTTATAGTTGTATATGTAAATTGAAAATAAAAGTTATTGGTTCAGAAAATTTAATTTTGAATTACTTTTGATTCTGGTTGTATGGATCCAATTTATAAACAATAATTATATCTTTCACGCAAATGCAATGTTACTATACTGTTGTCTTGCAATATACTATGTTTGATAGAGTATTATCATTAATTACATGTGGACACTATGCATCAGCTCTCCAGAAGTAGTTTTCTAGTGTTGGTGGGTTGATTTCAAAATATTCAGATACAATGTTACCATACAAGCAAGCTAAACTATTTTGCAATATGGCAGATACAATGTAAATTTTCCCAATGGGACTTAACCGTATTTTAAGTTGTTCCTTAAAGTGCCTATGACACGAAATTTCACCCCAAAGGTTTAGGGTTGCATTGTAAAGATAATTTAAAATGACTTAATAATTTCTTTTATAGAATTTTGGTAACTTGCTCCCTTTGCAAGATATTCAACTTTGTTTCATATGCAAATATCACCGGTGTGACATCACATCACATAATGAGTTTTCAGAAAAGTATAGTTTTCTTGACAAATACGTGTCTAAAAAACTTTAAAATTGCCCTTGTATTATGTATTAATTTCATAACTGGTAATTAACCCACTGTATTTGCTTGTAAAAATATTTTATCAAGGTAGAATATTGCGTTTTCAAAATGTCATGCGATGTGATGTCACACCGGTGATATTTGCATATGAAACAAAGTTGAATATCTTGAAAAGGGAGCAAGTTACCAAAATTCTATAAAAGAAATTATTAAGTCATTTTAAGTTATCTTTACAATGTAATCATAAACATTTGGGGTGAAATTTCGTGTCATAGACACTTTAAAATCTACAAACTTAAAATATTTGGTTATTTCTCCAAATAACCATTCCACACTGACTCGTACACTGCTCATTGCCTTGTTATATTGCCTCATATTTTCTGTTAATGCGGCATTATTTCGGAATGGTTGCTGGAGGTGGACCCTCAATGGGTAGGCTGGGTCACCATATAGACATAATGGGGTGCCGTCTGGTGCAAATGCTGCCTGAGGTCTTGCATCAAGCCTGACTCTCCGAGTATATGTGCATCATGCATTCTTCCCTCTAAAGCAAAGCAAAACAAAATATATAATTAAATGATTGAATTGAATGACTTTGTTCAAAATTTATATATTAACAATTTATAACAGAACACATCATTGTACTGATTATTGGCAATATAAATGTCAAAAAAGTGCTAACTCACCCCATGGTCCAGACAGGTTTGCTATCAGACCATTCGGAATACATATACTCTGAAATTTGATGGCATGTAGCCGCTTATGACCATTGTAAACAATTCTTTGATTAACACTGGGTCTACAAATTGGCCGAACTGTGCCATTGATGAAACCAAAGCATGTTAGAAGAGGGGAACCTTTGACATGAATTGCATTTGCATAGGATTCCAGATTCTCTGGAGATAGAAATCGTTGATTCCAGCTTTGTAATCTGAAACCATGGTTGTTGTAAATGATTGATTGCATATTGAGTAATCTTGCATAGTTCAGGCACTGATCGGCCAAACATGGGAACCATATCACAGTATCGCACTGGGTAAGCAAATCTTTTGAGCAATATGCACAAAGCTTCCATATCCAGGACAGTCTGTAGCATGTGGGATGGAAATCATTTCTGGAAATTGAAGCACTTCTTGCAACCTTGGAATGTCTTGTTTGTCAAACCGAAACTCAACTTTGCAAGTAAGTTCGTCAAGGTTTTCCCAGTCAAATAGATTATAATCCCGATAAGGGAAATTTGAGTGCCTATTTGGTGATATACATAAGTAATCTTGGAAAAGTAAAAGCTCCTCGTCTGATATTAAACCATCATCGTACGACAAAAGGAGAGTGTCAAAAATTTCATCCATTTTGAATTTACAAAAGTTTTAAATTTTACTGCCAAACAGAATTCTGGTGGCAACGGCGACGTTTCTGCAACATATTCGTTCCCAGGCCCCTGCTCGGTCACAGACATCGCCGTCGCCACTTCCCGTCGCGTTCCCAAACTCTCTATTGAGCTTGCTACGGCACTGCATACCATGACAAACAAATCGGATTTTTCTCACATATTATACATACTGATCTAGCCTTCATGTCACTATTTTGGGGACCATCATTGTCAAGGGATGGGTGTAAAAGCTTTGTTGGTGGAAAAGTCTGCAACTTTACTGCCAATTAAGTTTTCACTGTCTCATGTTCTCTTTTCCTCCACTTTTTGCAACTTGTTTTAATCACAAAGTCTTTTATAGCAGTTCTCATCATGGTAATGCTAGTCGAGTTCCCAGTGGTGTAAAGGAACAGCTTATCTCAAGTGCATAAACTGCTGTTGTTGAACCCTGTGCAATTCAACAAGTTGATTCATCATAGGTACCTGTGTCCTCAGAATCAGCTGACTCAGATATCTTACGAGTTTCACCAAATGATTCAAGGGACTGCTGTCTCATTTCAGATGCTTGCTTGGTTTCTTCCTCAAGTTTTTCTTCTCTGCTGCAACTCTTTCATGCTCTATGCCAGCTTCATAAAACAATGAGACAATTTCATTCATGCCAATATCTACTTCATTCTCCTCGCAGGATATTCCACTTGCAAGAGTTTCTTCCTTGACTTTCTTCTTGTATTTCTTTTCAAGCAAGGCATATCGGTCATGCACATACCTCTGGGTTACACGAAAAATTGGAGATTGCAAAGAATTCAACAAAGTACCTATCCTCAACCATGCCTTGCCTCTTTCAGGAAATGCTTTTCTACTGGTTCATGATTATTGCATCAGCAAAATTTCTCGTACAAACAGCTGATCATGCAGGTCGGTCCCAGACTGCATTGGGCGCCCTTCCGCCACAGATCTGTGGTGGGCAGCAAGGTCTGAATGACCCTGCCAAGGAACATTTGGCGGGCATCACGGCATCTAAGCTGTGCTTGGTGGGGAAACTGGCATAACAAGAGGAATTTTCCCGATTAAGAAATGGTGTACAACAATTGCTGTCAACAAGCAAATAAAATTTCTTCTGTATTCTGTAATTGAACCGACAAAGCATGAAGAAGAGAAACACCATCTAGTTATAACTAAGGATCGCTGTCTAATTTGTGCTTGATTGATCATATATGCCATTTGTGACTGTCTTAAAATGTTTTACGCAATCGTCTATATTGAAAGTTGGGAGGATGGATTCGTTGTAATTAAGGACTTTCTTTACATATCCCCAGAAATTTCGTTCAAAGCATTTATTGTGGTTAAAGGATTTTTCAGTATTATTAACAAGATTATGATTAGTCTGGCAATTTTTCGGCTTATCACACACAAGATGAGAAACATATTTAATTTCAGCAAGATCACAGTTTGACAATTTTAGTTGTTTTAAAGTTTTCTTTAAGTCCTTTATAGTGTGATTTTTATATTTATCTTTGAGTGAATTATCCGGCAGGCTTCTACACAGTCTAAGTTCTCAGCGAAATAGTTGTAGATGGTGTTATTCAATAAGTTAATTGATGAATTTAAATCATGACTTTTGATTGGAGGATTGGACATTAAGGAAGATTTGAAATGTCCGTTAGCCATTCTGAATTAGTTTTGGGAAGATTTATACCCTTCTTTAACTCTGGATATTCGTCATCTTGGTTAGTATCATTAGCTTCAATGTTGGTAATATCATCTAGGTCTTCCATGCAGTCATTGTTGCTTTCTTCCTGCTCTAATACATCTTTCAGTAACTCGTTATTCAGCCCCAAGATCACCATACAACTTTGTTGATGCATCTTGAGACCTCGAGCTCCTTTGCAACAACACTTTACTCCCACCTTTTTAACAGCGGCTGAAGATGGCGAACAGACGACTGGTTCCACCTCTATTCCATTTGATATAGTATTTTTAGAATTAACATTCGCAGTACGGTCGTTAATCTTGTCTTTACAACGCCACTGATGCCGACCGAGTGATACAAAATCTTTTCCACAAAAAGAACATATAACACAGGACAGAAGTGAATATGTTACATCCACTACACTTGCCAACTTACTGATCCTTATATGACTGGTGTTCTTCCAGGAAGCTGGATCAGAGATAAAATGTTGTGTTCACCAGGGGGAAACTACTGGAGCACATGAATGCCCCATATGTCTTAAGCCTGTTCATGCCATATGTCATGGTAATTTGAATGATATAACCCAGATCTGGAAGGGTATGGTTCAAAAGTTACATGCAAAAACTGCACAAATAGTAAGCCACCAGTGAAAAAGACTTCTTCTTGGTGCATTAAATTCCCTCCTAATTTAGACCTAAAGCACAAGACTCCTCAGTCAAAATCCAGTACCAGGAGTACTGAAAGTAGATGCATTTGTTTGAATTGCTTCCGCCTCAATGAAGATGCAAACGTTTATGTCTTATCAAGGCGTGACCCTAGCACTAAAGAGAGACATGTTAGAAGACGTCATCCTGAAAGTACATTGAAAGATATTGAAATTTATAACTTTGAATGTAACAGGAGTGACCTAGAGAAAGCTCATCAGATGTACTATGGTAGCAATCAAAACAATGCTGAAAAAAGTTCCAAACAACCCAGACAGAGACAAATATTGTCTTCATCCTCCAAAGAAAAAATCTAACTCAAAGTACTCCTAAATCTACCAGAAATACCCAGCCACAAAAGCAATGTCAATCCCTGGAAATTGTGATGTACTTGATGTAAGAACTTTAGACTGAACTGATGGCGGAATATGATGGAAACAGCCTATCTAGCCCAGTCGTTTCCGAACATGGAGAAAAGCGTACAAGAACGTTTACGCATAAAGGTTTCCAGAACACGCTTATAAACCAGACAAAAACGTTTAACAAACAAACCAAAGTATTACGGGTTGCGATTGACCTCGAAAAAGAGACGAATGCTCGTAAATTCTAGAACTCTTTGCACAGGACAAGTGGGGTGAAACAACCGACATGGAACCAACCATCAGAAAAGCCTTCGCAAGATTCCTACATGCAGCTGAGGTCATTTCGCAAGAGGCAGGAAAGAAACTTGACAATAATAAAAGCAGAGTCGCGAACACGTCCTCCGTAAGGTCCAGAAGATCGAGAACTTCGGTGAAAACTGGATCTACACGTTCATCACTTCATTCAGAAAGAAGAATAGCAATGGCGGAAGCAGCTGCCGCGAAAGAGCAAGCGGAGTACGACAGATTAATTGCTCAAATGGAGAAAGATCGGAAACAATGCGAAGCCCAAGAGGTGCTAGAGAGATCAGCAGCACAAGCCTGACATGAACACGATATAGCAGTTCTTGCAGCCCGGAAATTGGAAGCAGTAGCTCAAGTGAAGCTCGAAGCCATTGAAAGATCCATAATCCAGGAGGAAGATGATTCGTATTCTGGGAAATCAAGTCGGAAAGCCAGCGTAGAACCTTTGGAACGCACCAAAGCTTGGGTAGAGAACCAACCTCCCTTTGAAAGTGATGTGGTGAGAATGATTAAACGAGAAGTTAACGATGAGTTCAATCAGACTTTACCCCATCCCATCGGACACCGATCGGAAAGACACCATATATATGAAACACAAGAACCTAGTCGCGTAGTTCAACAATGTATGGGAGCGATAGCTACGACCAATGAGAAACTAACTGCAAGTCTGGCAAAGTTGAGTTTGCCGAAATGTCACCCAGATGTATTTTCTGGAGACGCTACGATGTTCCATCCTTGGAAAAGCGCATTTAAAGGAATGACAGAAAGTTGCAACGTCACCCCAGAGAACGAAATGAACTATTTATGTATGTATACAACCGGCGAGCCACGAAAGTTGGTGAACAGTTATCGGAAAAGACGTCATAAAGACCTTACAAACGCATTTCTTACAAGACTTCGAGAATCAGCCAGATTTGGAGAATATGATAAGAAGAAACTCCAAGCATTCTCAGATTTGTGCTCGGACGTGGTTTCGCAAGTTAGTCAACTTCCTGGCTTAGCATGCCTCAACTATCCAAACGCCATTCGACCCATCCTCTATAACTTACCAGAATCCCTTCGCAACAGATGGGACAAGCAAGTCGTTGAATTCACTCAGAAAAACAAAGACGCTTATCCTGATTTTACTGTGTTTGCCTCCATGATCGAGAAACAGTCCCTACTCAAGAATCACCCAAACGTGACAGCTTTCGAGAAACGAGGAAAGGGAGATCGGAGAAAGCCTTTTATACCACCACTTATCCCACCAGAGGACCCCCTGCATACGGTCTTGGCGGGAGAAACTAAAACAGAAGATGAAGAAGTGAAAGAAAAACACTGCCCGTTCCACAAATGCATCGGACATACGTTGTCAGAGTGTAAATCTTTCGCTCAAAAAACCCTGGAGGAGAAAACGCAATGGATCAAAGAGGAAAAGTTATGTTTCCGATGCTTGGTTGCAGGACACATAGCCAATCAATGTAAATCGAAAGTGAAATGCGGGAAGTGTAGCAGTGAACGTCACCCAACGCTTCTTCACAAGGAGAAATGGAACAATGATGCCCGAAGCAAAGAAATAACATCCGCGCGAATGAGTATTGGTTGCAACGCCGACAGAAACGTTTGCTGTAGCAAGGTTGCCCTGCTTGACATGTTCCATTCAGACAGACCGCAGAAGAAGAGTTTACACCATTGTAGATGAGCAAAGTAACACGTCTATGATTAGCCCGGAATTAGCTGACGGCCTTGGTATATCAGGACCAAAGGAGAAATACCTGCTGTCAACATGTAGTGGCTCGAAAGAAACAAGGTTTGGTCGACGGGTCCCGGGTTTGATGGTCACACCAGTTAAAGGAAAACCACTGGAGCTACCCACACTGATCGAATGTGATAACATCCCCAAAGATAAGAGTGAAATCCCCTCACCAGAGTTTGCCATGAAGTATACCCACCTTCTCTCCATTGCTGATGAAATTCCCTCGTTGGACAGTAGAGCAGAAGTTCAGCTCTTAATTGGTCGAAATGCGCCAGAACTGTTGAAAGTGAGAGCATTCTGCAACGGTCCTAATGGAACTCTGTGGGCACACAAACTAGCTGTTGGTTGGACGATATGCGGACAAGCCTGCGTCGATCGTCAAGGAGGACCAATTCATGTCGGTACCCACCGTACAATTTACTACGACCCACCGAGACAGACACATTTCGAACAAGATGATGTGAGCACTTTGCAACGTGATGCCAAACCCAAGCAAGATAAAGTAACACAAGAGAGATCTCATACCATGAGTTGACACCCTGCACAAATAACTACGTTGTACAAGAGAACTTCCCCGACATGTACCAAGCAACAGATCGCGACAACGAAACCACCATGTCAATAGAAGACCAACGCTTCATTCAAATAATGGAATCCAATATCCACAAAAATCAAACAGGACATTGGGAGATGCCACTACCCCTCCGATCTAACGACATACACGTTCCTGACAACAGAGATCAAGCTTCAACTCGTCTCAAAAACCTTCTGCATTCATTCAAGAGGAATCCAATGGAGCAAGACTACTTCAACTTTATGGCAAAACTGTTTGAATGCGGTCATGCCGTACCAATACCAATTGAAGCCACTCCCCCAAAAGAAACTGGGAAAATTTGGTACCTACCACATTTTGGCGTATACCATCCTCGTAAACCAAATAAGATCCAAGTTGTATTCGACTCCTCAGCAGAGTTCAAAGGAACATCTCTTAATAAGGAACTGTTGTCAGGTCCAGATATGCACAATGGTCTTCAGGGGAATACTGGTCAGATTCAGAAGAAATGCCGTTGGTGTGATGTGTGATATAGAGCAAATGTTCCACAACTTCCATGTCCACCCACCACATAGAGATCCATTGCGGTTCCTGTGGTTCGCTGATAACGTCAAAGAAAAAGATATCATCGTCTACCAAATGGTGGTGCACTTGTTTGGCAACATGTCAAGTCCCGCTGTAGCAACGTTTGGCCTTAGGAAAACCGCAGAAGAAGGAGAGAAAGAGTTTGGTCAAGACGCCAAAGACTTTGTCGTTGAAGACTTCTACGTAGATGACGGTCTGACATCACATGATACCGCGGAAGGAACTGTGTCTCATTAAGAACACTCAAGCAATGCTCGCAACTGCAAATCTGAGACTTCATAAGATTGCATCCAATTCCGTCGAAGTCATGAAATCATTTCCAGATCAAGACCGAGTCAAAAGCCTCAAAGATCTACACATCGAACAAGGCCCACTTCTGTCACAACGGTCGTTAGGAGTAATGTGGGATTTGGAGAAGGATGCTTTCGCATTTCAAATTACATTGCCGGAGAAACCGTATACTCGTAGAGGCATGTTATCTGTCGTTAACTCAATTTATGACCCATTGGGATTCGCAATTCCAGTCACCCTACAAGGACGATTGCTGCTTCGGGATCTCGTCAAAATGGGGAATGAAAGACGGGGAGACAAAGCATCTCTCGGATGGGACGATCCTCCTCCACAACCACTACAAAATCGATGGAGCAGCTGGAGAGATTCATTATTTGACTTAGAAGATATTCGAATCCCAAGATGTTATCGTCCAGAAACATTTGGGGAAACGAAAAGATCAGAAATTCACGCGTTCTCGGATGCCAGTGATAAAGCAATCGGTACTGCGGTCTTCCTTAAGCAAGAAAACTACACGGGAGAAGTAAATGTTTCACTTCTGTTTGCACAAGCACGATTATCTCCAAAACAAGCAACGACTATCCCAAGGCTCGAACTTTGTGCAGCAGTGCTATCGGACCAAGCAGTGAAGTGGATAACTTGTGAACTGCGATTGAATATTGATGAAACTGTATTCTACACCGATTTCAGAGTGGTGTTAGGCTATATTCAGAACGAGAGCCGACGCTTCTACGTGTACGTAGCGAACAGGGTCCAGATCATTTCCAGCATTTCAGATCCTTCACAGTGGAAATACGTGGAAACGACCCATAACCCCGCAGACTCGTGGCATCTTCATGGTTCAATGGTCCGGAATTTCTGCGAAATGACCACTCTTCCCCAACGACAAATGATCACAAACTCAAGTATTATGAGCGACGATCCCGAAGTTCGTCCCGAAGTTTCAACTTACTTGTCCGAGGTTCAACTAATTGAAAGTCTGGGATCGGAAAGATTCAATCGCTTCTCAAGGTGGACTACACTTCGCAGAGCTCTAGCCAATTTGATTGTTAAAGCAAAACAAGTCAAAGCCCGACGGCGAGGAGGAAATTTGTCAACACCCAACACCAGGCGTACCCGTAGCAATCCACCGAACCCTCCAACCTCAAAGCATTCTCTCACAAATCCTTCTGCTAAGGAACTGAACCAAGCTGAAAACTTGATGATGAAGACTGCGCAAGCGGACGCGTTCACTCCCGAGATTAGGATAATACAACAATCGAAGTCATTGAAGAAGTCACGCTTATACAGCCCGACCCTTTCATCGATAATAACGGAGTACTTCGAGTCGGTGGTCGCCTACGACAAGCCGAACAACTATT